TAAACCAGGACTAATCCAGGACTAAACTGGGACTAAACCAGAACTAAACCAAGACTAAATTAGGTCTAAACCAGGACTAAACCAGGACTAATCCAGGACTAAACCGGGACTAAACCAGAACTAAACCAAGACTAAATTAGGTCTAAACCAGGACTAAACCAGGACTAATCCAGGACTAAACCAGGACTAAAACAGGTCTAAACCAGGACTAAACCAGGTCTAAACCAGAACTAAACCAGGTCTAAACCAGGACTAAACCAGGCCTAAACCAGGACTAAACCAGGACTAAAACCAGGACTAAACCAGGACTAAACCAGGTCTAAACCAGGACTAAACCAAAACTAAACCAGGACTAAACCAGGACTAATCGAGGACTAAACCAGGACTAATCCAGGGCTAAAACCAGGTCTAAACCAGGACTAAACCAGAACTAAACCAGGACTAATCCAGGGCTAAAACCAGGTCTAAACCAGGACTAATCCAGGACTAAACCAAGACTAAATTAGGTCTAAACCAGGACTAAACCAGGATTAATCCAGGACTAAACCAGGACTAAAACAGGTCTAAACCAGGACTAAACCAGGTCTAAACCAGGTCTAAACCAGGACTAAACCAGGACTAAACCAGGTCTAAACCAGGTCTAAACCAGGACTAAACCAGGTTTAGACCAGGACTAAACCAGGACTAAACCAAAACTAAACCAGGACTAAACCAGGACTAATCCAGGACTAAACCAGGACTAAACCAGGACTAAACCAAAACTAAACCAGGACTAAACCAGGACTAATCCAGGACTAAACCTGGTCTAAACCAGGACTAAACCAGGACTAATCCAGGACTAATCCAGGGCTAAAACCAGGTCTAAACCAGGACTAAACCAGGACTAAACCGGGACTAAACCAGAACTAAACCAAGACTAAATTAGGTCTAAACCAGGACTAAACCAGGACTAATCCAGGACTAAACCAGGACTAAAACAGGTCTAAACCAAGACTAAACCAGGTCTAAACCAGAACTAAACCAGGTCTAAACCAGGACTAAACCAGGCCTAAACCAGGACTAAACCAGGATTAAACCAGGACTAAACCAGGTCTAAACCAGGACTAAACCAGGACTAAACCAAAACTAAACCAGGACTAAACCAGGACTAATCCAGGACTAAACCGGGACTAAACCAGAACTAAACCAAGACTAAATTAGGTCTAAACCAGGACTAAACCAGGACTAAACCAGGACTAAACCAGGACTAATCCAGGACTAAACCAGGACTAAACCTGGTCTAAACAATAACAGTAGTGTGGACATAATTTAAAGCAGCAGTGATCTCATATAGAAATCATTTCTCTATCAATAATATTTTTAATATGGTTAAGGGGCTTTTTATTTTCTTTTACAGACAAAACATCTTATCTTCAGATCCTCATCTTTGCTTCTCTACACCAAACAAAATCCTCTTCATTGAGTCTCACACTCAACAACCAATTTGAAGAGAACAAACATGAATTTACAGGATGTGGTTGGTACGTTCATGTAGTTTTAAAAAGCATGACAATATCAAGTAATCCAAAGTATTCAGATTACATTACTCACTTTAAGTAATTTAATGCATTACGTTACAAACTACATTTTGGTGTATGTAATATGTAATCTGTAGGGGAATATATTTTAAAAGTCACCTTCCCAACAATGACTAAAGATAAAAGGAGCTGTTCACTTAAAAACTACCACTCCACAACATCACAAGGTGGAATTTTGAGCTTTAGGTGTAGACAGACTAATAATAAAATCTTACTCAAACACACGTGAATGATACAAAGCACAAGTCCTGTTTTTGAGCAAGGAACATTCTAACATTCTTCCAAAAGACACATTTTAGTTTAAATGTAGCTGAACTAAAAGTAGATTCAAACATCACAATAGTGTCGTCACAACACAAAACACAGGTATACAACACGGCCCAGCTCTGAGCCTCCTGAGCCTCCTAATCTCCACTACATCCTGCAGACAAAGCCCAGGGAGGAGCTGCTCATGTGGGACAAAAACCTCCCGTGAGCCCCTGTGTGCGGCGGCTACACCCAAAGGAGTCCTGCTGGTTGCTGGTGAGGGACGGGGGGGGGCGCGGGGGGTCTCCTGTGAGCAGAGAGGGCATTACCACATGAACAGGGACAAGGAGGGAGGAGGGAGGGAGGAGGGGGATCCAGAAACCTCCAGCCGGTAACTCTCAAACACACAGTATTTACAAAAACTATTCAAGGACCAGTGTGGTAGTAATGTAGTTTGTAACGTAATCCATTAAATTACTTGAAGTGAGTAACGTAATCTGAATACTTTGGATTACTTGATATTGTCATGCTTTTTAAAACTACATGAACGTACCAACCACATCCTGTAAATTCATGTTTGTTCAGTCTTTATTTGATCATATTAAAAATATTATTGATAGAGAAATGATTTTTAGATGAGATCACAGCTGACTTCATCATGTCCACCTACTGTTAGTGTCATATTCTATTAGTTTAGTCCTGGTTTAGACCTGGTTTAGTCCTGGTTTTAATTCTGGGTTTAGTCCTGGTTTAGTCCTGGTTTTAGACCTGGTTTAGTACTGGTTTAGTCCTGGTTTTAATTCTGGTTTTAGTCCTGGTTTAATCCTGGTTTTAGTCCTGGTTTAGTTCTGGTTTAGTCCTGGTTTAGACCTGGTTTAGTCCTGGTTTAATCCTGGTTTTAGTCCTGGTTTAGTCCTGGTTTAGTCCTGGTTTAGACCTGGTTTAGTCCTGGTTTAGTCCTGGTTTAGACCTGGTTTAGTCCTGGTTTAGTCCTGGTTTAGTCCTGGTTTAGACCTGGTTTAGTCCTGGTTTAATCCTGGTTTTAGACCTGGTTTAGTCCTGGTTTTAGTCCTGGTTTAGTCCTGGTTTAGTCCTGGTTTAGTCCTGGTTTAATCCTGGTTTTAGTCCTGGTTTAGTCCTGGTTTAGTCCTGGTTTAGTCCTGGTTTAGTCCTGGTTTAGTCCTGGTTTAGACCTGGTTTAGTCCTGGTTTAGTCCTGGTTTAGACCTGGTTTAGTCCTGGTTTAATCCTGGTTTTAGTCCTGGTTTAGTCCTGGTTTAGTCCTGGTTTAGTCCTGGTTTAGTCCTGGTTTAGTCCTGGTTTAGTCCTGGTTTAGTCCTGGTTTAGACCTGGTTTAGTCCTGGTTTAGACCTGGTTTAGTCCTGGTTTAGACCTGGTTTAGTTCTGGTTTAATCCTGGTTTAGCCCAAAATGTGAAAACAGGAAAATACCGCCATGTAATCCATTTATTTCAACAAAGTAACTGTAATCCAATTACCACTCACTGAAACAGTAACTGTAACTGAATACAGTTACTCATAATTTGTACTCTGATTACGTAACTCTGGTACATGTAATCAGTTACTCCCCAACACTGTCAAGGACTAACCAGGTTTTACACAGAACTAAACCACAAGACCAAAGATTTTAGCCAGGATTAAACCAGATCCTAACCCAGAACTAAACCAAGATAAATTATAGTTTAACCTTGGACTAAATTAGGTTGACTAATACATTTCAATGAGATTTGTACCAGGTCTGACCCAGGACTAAACAAGATAATCCAGTACTAAACCAGAAAGCAGGATTAAACCGGGACAAAACCAGCCTAAACAGGAGTGAACGAGCACAGTCTAAAAGTGTTTCAGCTGCTCACAGACAGACCCTGCCCCTGGACCCGCGCCCGGAGAGTAAAGACAGATCTCAGATGGAGCTGGCTCGTGCCAAACTGACCCGTGCCAAGGCAGCCCCAAGTGAACCGTGCCCGTGGAACAGAGGCCGAAGTACAAGATCTAAAGTCTGCTCTAAACCACATGAAACCAGGCTGAAAATTGGAGCAAACCTGCAGATTTAGGGTAACAGTCTCATACACCTTTACTAGAATCATTTGGATTATTCAGACCTGGAATGGCCAATCTCTACTGCAACAACCTTGTTCAGTCCCAATACGGGTTAGTCCTTGAGGCTGTTCTTCCCAGTGTGCTGCCGGACCACCATGACTGTCCACATCCTTTCCAGAATCCAACTACTGATCTTCTTTATGTGTTATTGTTTGGTTACTGTAATAAATATTCAGAGGAGGGTAGCACTCTCTTACATTTACCTTTACTTGAGTTATTTAGTTGAGTTATTTTACAGAAACTATACTTTTCTTGCAACACACTTTTACTCCCACTTGACTAATATTTTTATTGATAGAACAGTACTTGTCTTACTTGAGTAAAAGTTGTGCTTCCTCTTCCCAATGTGAGTGAGTCTAAAGTAACAAAAGCTTTATGTTGATTATATAAAATGATTTGAAGATTAGTGATTCTTCAGATATGATTTAGTTTGTCTCATTTCTGTGTATTTCATGTTTTGTTCTTCAGAGTACATTAAACTCAAATTATAAGCATAAGCTTAAGTGAGGCTACTCTTGAGCAGTATCTTACTTGAGTAGTAGTTATTCTAAATACCTTTTTACTCTTAGGATAAGTGAGTAATTTTTGGACCATTACTTCATACTTCGACTCATACTCTTACTCTTCTAATTTTTGGCTTCTCTTCCACTTCTGGAAATATGAGCCTAAATGAAATTAAATGAAATCATCATGTGAGTAAAGTTGTGAATTCTTTGAGTGTGCGTAAAGTTGTCAATTCTGTGCGTAAAGTTGTAAATTCTGTGAGTAAAATTGTGAATTCTGTGAGTGTGCGTAAAGTTGTGAATTCTGTGCGTAAAGTTGTGAATTCTGTGCGTAAAATTGTGAATTCTGTGAGTGTGCGTGAAGTTGTGAATTCTGTGCGTAAAGTTGTAAATTCTGTGCGTAAAGTAGCACTTACGCCGTTCTGTGGTGAAATGTGAGGATGAACCGCACGGCACAGTCTGGTTTCCATGGGGCCAACCTGGGGGCGGGTCTTAGGGGCCCACGAGACCACGAAACTCCACCCATTTGCCTCTACCTGAAACTGGCACAGTCACG